TGAGAAAATTTGGTGGTTTATTATTTCATACCGTTATTGGTCTAGATATAGCAAAAGGTTTTAATTTCTCACTTTTAAATTTTTGTGGAAAAAAGCAGCAAACATTTTCAGACCAAAAATGGTCTAAATAATATATTCAAAAATTAACATGGTGCCATTTCATTAGCGAAACATGGGAAACAAAAGGTGTAATACCCCGAAATTTCTAGAATATTAAAGTTGAGTTGGGGACTTATTTGAGAAAAAATATTATTGAGGGGCTTAATAGAAAAAATTTTTTAAGTTGGGGGACTAAAAAGAAAGGAAATTAGGATAAGGATCAATTGCTTTTCTTTTTCTTGTTTCTTTCTTTCTTTCCTTCCCCATCAGACCCGTGTGCCGTGCTCTACCTTTCCCCCGACCCTCTGCAACCCGACGAGCCCCAGCCACCGGCACCCATTTTTGGCCTGTAACACCGGCAAAGCTTGGGGATTTCTCTTTATTTTCTTGTTCTTGAACCCAGAAATCCCCCCCTGTACTGGAAATTCCAGATCTGCTCTGCTTCTGCTCTGCTCTGCTCTGCTACTTCCGGCGGCTGCTCTGCTGTATGGGGGTGCGAATTTGTAAGGACAGGTCCGAGGTGCCAAGCCTCGGGCTGCTACAGTAATTCCTTTATGACCGAAGTGAGGAATAAATCCAAAGCTTCCCGCTCAATTAGCTGCATGACAATGACAATAAGCATGCCCGCATTTGATTCCTTATGATGAGTGGCACAGCAAGTATGGTGGACGCTCGTGCATCTGAATACCTCTCAAATTCCCGGTCCCGGAATAATCGTCTGGATGGACACGTCAAGCCCCGATTATCTTGCTTGGCATGACACGTGGGTTCCTCATTGGATCCTATAAATACCCCTTCGGGCCACGTCAAAAAGGTAATTGAAACCAACCTTAAGCTCTTTTTATCTCCGCTCTAAAGGTAGCCTCGATTATTGCTGACTTAAGCATCGGAGTGTCTACCCCGAGTTCCACCTCGGGGCTTTGCAGGTTTTCCCGGAGTGCAAG